GCGACTTGATTTCCCAGGTGCATGCGGATCTGACACTACGACAGCCATAATGGTGCCTGTAAGAAAGTTAGCGTCTTTAAAGATAAGCACACATTCGCCAGTTACATGCATTCCTTAAATTTCGTGGCACGATGACAGTATTCGGATGACAGGCAGGAATAAATTGCATGTCAGAAAACAAATCTTGAACACAGATCACGAGACGCAAGAACTTGACAATTTTTACCACGTCAGTAATTCAAGGTGACGACGAGCATCAAGTTCAACACATAATGTTAGGTGAAACAGTTCCGCCACGTGGATTTAAGTCAAGAAATACAGTACAGCTAAAAATGCTTGAGTCGAACAGATCGGGAAACTGTTCAGAAAATTGCTTTGGTTTTAGCGCAGAGATTATTCTTGATAGTACTATAAAATACTCCATACCAACGTAGAACTCGGGTATTTCAATGTGCTTCCGACGTTGAAGCATGTCGGCTCGTTCCAGTTTTTCCCTTAATTTGTTCCTCCAATCTAATCGAGGATTCGGGAGAAATTCAGGGAAAATTTGACGGTATTCCGCGGGCGGCAAGGCATCTTTTCCGTCAATTTTCTTCTCGGGCTGAGTCGAAGCTGAGAACGAACGAATGACGGGCGCCCGACATCCTAAACGAAATCGGGAAATTCAAGGTCACGGTAATGTATTACGTGTTAACAAATCAACTAACCTGCACGGGTCAGACGACTCAGTAGTCTTGGAACAAGTACTTCCACGAAGACCATCACAATGAATCAATATTTAAACATCACCAGCCTTACGACACACTCAACATTCTGCTCCGAAAAAATCAAACCCGAAGAAATTTAGCCTCAATAACCACATACTGGCTACTAAATGCCTTCAACAAAGAAACAGTAATCGAAAAATGTTCGCGACGAATATCACAACTAATTGATAACAGTGGAAGTACTTGAGGTTCTCCTCACACTGGTTAACCATTTCAACACTTTCTGACCGCCATATGAAAGCGCTTTTCTCGCTCCTGCTGTGCAGGCCCCTTTGACAGCCTGACCAGCACTCGATTTTTTCACAATTTCCGACATCCCTGAAAATGATCACATTCACACGTAATAAATATGGCTCGAATTCATGAAACATCCTTACTCCAAAGAAGGATATCTCGAGCATCGGGATCGTGAGCAGCAGCAAGAATGGCATCTTCACAATCTTCTATGGAGCCGCCCATCTTGCGCGATTTGTAAATTTCTGTTAGACCCTCGGAAACGTTGCTCGGCAACAAGTTAAGATGATGGAATTTTGCTGCAGGAGTGATATCTTGCTCGAATATGGCCCTTCGGTTGCAAAATTCCAGCCAATCCTTCATGGTATCCAAGGTAGGGCCGTATAATTCTCGGAAGGCAGGCATTTGAGCTTCCACGATGTTTGATACTTTATTTTGGTCCTCACCAAATGTCATACGAACATCGCCGGAGTATGAAATGCCGGCTATTGTCTTGAAAAGCATTTCTTCACTAAATTCTGGTGGAAGAATTAACAAGGCCGCAAGTACTGCCGATCGAAGATTCTTCGATAAAGCTGATGCTACCCGATTGGAGAACTTCGTATTCAAATAATACACTGGCTTATGGAGTCGTCCCGCTACGTAGAGATCTTCCCATTCCAATAAGTCACACAAAAAGTCATCCATATGGATCACTCCATATTTGAAACTCTACAACAGAATAATAAGTTAAAATTGGAATTTTTCTTCAGGTTAAAACCCACCATATCGTCATAATCAACCATCGGATTGAAGTACAGCTTTGCGCCGAATTTCCTCTGGATATCCGTCAGTCGGGAAGGGCCTAGGTGCCTCAAGAATGAATAGTGATCCGGGTTAAGCCGGAGGTTGTCTGAATGCCACGAAGCCGGATTGTCAACCACAAGAATGAGATCCACCATCTTTCCCTGTCCAGCAACATTTAATAAATCATTATTTTAAGCTATATTTCATCGGACAGCTGTCCATAAGACGATTTGTTCACCTTTGTTGACTGTCCAAGTTGCTGATAAACCCCACTACCATAAGCAATAGCAAACGTTCCAGCTTGTGGCAGGGTTGATAAGAATTTCATCGTTTTGGCAACGTTGAATCCCACAATTTGAACCATGTTGTTGCACGTTACACTGGAAAAAGACGACGCAGAATTTACATTAAATCCCCGAAAAGAAACGGGAGAAATGTATTGCCACTGGAGCATTTTTTGGCTAAAGAACTGAAGCTCATGACGCGCATTTCACTCCTCGAAGAAAGAAATCCAATAACTGACAACATCAAAGACGCTTCATAAATAACGGAATCGTTACATTGCATTCTTCCTCACTTAAGTTTGACAGACCGCGTGAAAATCAAGTCACGAAACTTCGGGAACCACGTGTTGCGAGTTCGCCAAAGGCTGCACCCATGACATCATCAGCTAAACTCTGTGTTACTGACGTAAAAGAACGCAGAAGAATAGCGCGCATGGATCAGTTAACGGAAGATGTTCTCCGAGTGAACTTACGGATGTTCATGACAGATAACTTAGTCGGTTCATATTTGTCAACGTGAATTGTGAAGCGAATAAGTAGAGGCTGTAGTGATGCCTGCGATTGTGGCGTCACGCCCCCGGCTACCAAATGTTCGCGATTATTTTAGTTTCCAAAGATGTGTTGTGCTGCACTATCTCACGCACCTTCGTTCCATCGCATTAGATTTCGTCGAGATTTTCCTCTGAAAAAAATACGGAGCTTTAAATTATGCGAACCTTTGTTGAGATTTTAACTGTCACTTTTGGTGCATTTCATCGGTTTTTTCTTCTATTTCTTTCCAGTATTTGAAATGTTGTGACAGAAACACGCGGAAAACTGTACCCGAAATGGTGTCTCCCGATTCTCCTGGAATGGTAAGTTCTCGTTTATAAATTGCCTATAGGGTTCACTATCGCTGAATCTTNTTCATCGGTTTTTTCTTCTATTTCTTTCCAGTATTTGAAATGTTGTGACAGAAACACGCGGAAAACTGTACCCGAAATGGTGTCTCCCGATTCTCCTGGAATGGTAAGTTCTCGTTTATAAATTGCCTATAGGGTTCACTATCGCTGAATCTTATTTTCACAGATCGGAGTGATAGACAATCAACCAGTATGGGTGGAAGACCCTACACACGGCTTCGTGCTGGGAAAAATAGTCGATCTAGGATCCAAGGAAGCTCGTGTTCAACTCATCGGCTGCTCGAAGTTGTCCAACTGCCCGTATGATAGGATTTTTCCCGCTGAAGACGGAGATAAAGATGTAGAAGATAACTGTAAGTATCTCATTTTATTTTTCATAATGCGTATGCCTTCTTTTGCAGCCGACAAAGCGTTCAGAGATATGAAAGTCTTGTCTCAATCGCAGTCTATGATAGTTTCTGGTGAATCTGGGGCTGGAAAAACAGAATCAACCAAATATATTCTTCGATATTTATGCGAAACCGGTGGATACGCTGCTGGTCCAATTGAACAGCGGATTTTGGATGGTAATTTTTCAATATCGAATTTCTCGAAGTTTTGTGAATAAAATATCTTCAATCCTTTTTCAGCCAATCCCGTGCTCGAAGCTTTCGGAAATGCAAAGACCACAAGGAACTCCAACTCATCGCGATTTGGGATTAAACAGCTTTAAGTAAAAAGGTTCAGAATACCGCAACACCCGCCAATATATAGAGTAATGAACGAGCTTTTCTCAGCTTAAACGTCGGTCTTACACCTGCTTGCATTAATAGTGTAAAAGATGGTACTGTGTTCTGGGGCCCCTGCAGAACTCAAGATGAAGATGGGGTTAGAAAACCCTGAAAAATTTCACGTGAGCGTTATTTTTTTTATCAAGTTTAACCAGGATTTTAAAAATGCCTCTCGTTCAGTATCTAGTGAATCGGGGATCTAAAACTCAACACACTAGAAATTTACGCAATGACGCTAGTGACTTCGTGAAAATCGACAAGGTGAGTGGTTTTTTTTCATCCCTTTTAAATTTGAAAAATTGCCGATAATTCTGGCGAAGCTGCCTATTGCATTTTCAAGAATTGAAAAAGGGTTGAACATTTTATTTATTTTTTTTAGTATAAAAATTTGCATAATTTTGACGAAGCTACATGAAAGGATGTAGAAATTCGGACAGCTAATCTGTGATATGATGTTTAAAAAGACCAGATTTTGTCAGCTGCTCGAAGAAAAAATTCTTATTACTTACCATTGCAAGATCTAGATACTCAGGTTTTCGGCGTCTCTCTAAAATGACCGCGAGTGCTTGCCTTTAGTTTTATAGCCATGCTATAGAACGATGATTGCTCAACCTCATCATGTCGTCAAATACAGTTAATTGCTTATTGCTCACCATTGTGCGAGCTTTGTTCTCATCCTTGATACTAATTGGCGTGATGCGTTTTACTGTGATCAAACGAGCATTGAGTTACGTTTTTTTTCCCCTTTTAGGGCAGTCACTCTTTTCCCCTTTTTTTAGTTCGGGTCTTTAAGGATTTTTTTTAGCGCCGTGGAGGTAATTGCTGTCATAGTTCTTGGGTTAAAAGAAGTTCTACAGTGCTTCTTCTATGTCGACTTCGGGACTGTGTGTTGGTTTTTACATGGGTTGGTTCAAAAGTTTGATAAAATCCCTAAATATTTATACCTTGATCGCACATTAACAGTCAACGTTTTCATGCGCATATTTCTGCTTTCAAATCAGAATTTTCCAAACTACTGTACGGTACGGAGATTAATGTCGACATTAAGATGAAACTTGGAAAAATTACTGATGTGTTGAACTACTGTTCAGTTGCAGAAAGGATTCAAAAATTGTGTACTCTAAATTTAAGGATTAAGCGCAACTTGCATTGTCAATATCACTAGCACAAGAAATGGTCACGATCAAAATCCTTCTACACATTGTTGTTGGCTGTGAAGCATTATGTCAGAAGCTATTTTCTTTGTTTTGAAAATAATCGGTAATCTGAAATTTTTGAAACTTGTGACTGTTCCGGTTAACCCTATAGTTCCTCGCTGAGATGAAGTGCACTTTAAATCTGTCTCTTAATTTCAATTTCAAATGGAACAAATTTTGAAGAATTGAATAATACTGAGGTCAAAAGTATTGTATTCTTATCATATAACTGTTTTGAGAACTTGTGATGCAAGAGTGGGAAATCTGTTCAACCAACCTTTCATATCCTTGGGATGCACAAAAATCATTATGGCAACGTTATTATCGCCAGAAACTTCTTGTGAATTTTTTTTTTTTTTCCTGTGAATGAAAGTAATCAACTTTTGGAATACTGTACAGTACTTCACCTTAATTTTCGATGCGGATTTTTTTGAATTTGTTCCGAGACCTATGCAACCCGTAGAGACGACCTCTAGCGGTCCTCTAAATGTGTTATCAACGACGGCAGGAAGTGGACCCCTTGTATCTTAAACTTTTACTGCACCTGCTAAGGGTGCCTGGCTCCAGATTAACTCCGGCGTCGTTGAAATCTCTTGAAGAAGCATCTCGTTTAATGAAGCTTGATGTTGGGGAATTGAAATTAGGTAATATTAACTTTTGCTTCGAGTTGGGGAATTTGTGTTTTTAATCCAGCTCAATGAATTTTTGTTTCTCAAAGGTTTGGCTTTCAGAACGATGCAAACCGCTTGTGGGGATGTGATAAATGTACCACTGAAACCTCGAGAAGCAGCCAGTGCGAGAGACGCCCTAGCAAAGTCCATGTACTCTAGGCTGTTTGACAATATTGTATCAAGAATCAACGCGTCAATCCCTTTCCAAACATCTGCGTTTTACATTGGCGTATTGGATATAGCTGGCTTTGGTATGTATCGATCCTTCGAGCTAATATTAAACGTGATATCTGGTGCGCACCGTAATTTTATAGTCTTTATATGATTAAATTTAATGTCAGAGTTGTTGTAACAAATTCAAATTTAATAATCGTTCAGTTTCATAATTTTTGGCGAATTTAACTTCGAGAGGGATATTATGACTAACAGGTATGTTGGAACGAGAATTGGGAGGAAAAATGTGTCAACTACTTTCTCACTTTCGCACTATAAATTCATAGGCCATCAATTCTCAGTTTTTATTTTATTTTTATTTTCCATTTTTGTAAGCTTTTTGAGTTGTGAATCTGTCTAAAAGTATACTCCATTATTGGTATCACAAATTTACTTCAAATACTTTTCACCGTTCTGGAAAGCTTGTCGAAATGTGAATTTGTATGAAACGCCGAAGTCAAACATTTTATTGAAGAGCGTGCTCCAGCATTTCCCCGAATTCTGTGATTCCGTATTTTCGTGTGCGTCCATATTTTCTTTGCGTAATGCGTAAGTTTTGTGACTTTCCTCTCAAACTGGTCGTTCCAAAAAGTCTTATAAAGGGTTTTTTACCTAAACTCGTCAAGACGTATTTGATAACGTTACTCTTCGACGTCTGCAAGAAGTTGCTCGCCCAAGACGTAGTGCTTGTCTAGGAGATGCGAGTCCTTCCCTTGCAAGTACCTCGAATCACTTATGCAGACAATAGTGATTGCATTCGTGAGTATTCATGTCATCATGCCGTAAATTCCATTTGAGAATTTGTTACACGGGTTATTTTCTGTGATAATTCATGGTGACCTGAATCTGCAATTTTACATTCAATTTATGGGTGTCATCTGCATTTCAGTTAATTTAAATTTGTGTCAAGTTGAATATAAATCGGTTGGATTTAAAGATGAGGGAAGCACCTGCCCGATGTTCTGGGAGGAATGTATTGAACTAGGTTTTGAGAAGAATGTCGTTTAAGAATGTGCGATCAATGTTTTTTTTTCAGAGTTGGTAGAAGACAAGATGGGGGTGATAGATCTTCTGAACGAAGAAGGGAAACTACCGAAACCCGACGCTTGCCACTTCACAGCCGCAGTTCACAAGAACCTTCATGGCCATTTCAGACTCGAATTGCCAAGATGCTCAAAATTACGACAACATCGCGAACTGCGGGATGACGAGGGTTTCATCATTAGGCATTTCGCTGGAGCAGTTTGCTACGAAACTGTGCGTTTCATGATTTAATGATGTTTTGAGTAAGAACTAATGAATATTTTTTGGCTGGCAGGCTCAATTCATTGAGAAGAACAATGACGCATTGCATAGTTCCTTGGAGGCTCTGGTTTGTGAAGCAAAAAATCATTTCTTGAAATCCTTGTTTGAAACTGTTGATCAACCAAAGCGATCTGGAAAATTAAACTACGTTTCTGTTGCGTCCAAGTTTCGTGGGCAGTTGAATGAGCTGATGGAGAAGCTTCAGTCAACAGTAAGAAAAGTGCATTCTTTTCCGTCAAGGGTTTATTTATACCTTTTTTTATGACAAAAGGGAACCAGCTTTATAAGATGCATCAAACCAAACGGTAAAATGGCACCCAAAGACTTTGATGGAGGTGGAATATTGTCTCAGCTACAGTGCGCTGGAATGGGGAGTGTTTTGAAACTCATGCAACAGGGTTACCCCTCAAGGTCAGTTTTAAAATTCCATTTCGCGTTGCTAAAGTCTTCAAATGTAATTTCTTCTTTAGAACTGGATTCCAAAGTCTGCATGAAATGTACAAACAGTATTTGCCTGGGAAGTTGGCACGTTTGGATGCGCGTTTGTTCTGCAAAGCCTTGTTTAAGGCCCTTGGATTAAACGATACAGATTTCAAGTTTGGTGTTTCCAAAGTGTTCTTTCGAGCCGGAAAGTTTGCAGAGTTTGATCAGATGCTGAAATCTGATCCTGAAAATCTGGCTGCCTTGGTGGATCGCGTGAAGCAGTGGCTGCTGAGATCAAGGTGGAAGAAGGTTCAATGGGGTGCTATTATGGTTATTAAACGTGAGTTTATTCCGTATCCGTTATGTTGAAATGGAATGCCATCTTTTGTGGGTTGTTGAAGTGATCGCAATGTTTGAAAATTTGGAATGTCAACTTAATATCTTTTTAATATTTTTCGTTCATCAGCTTTTTATTGAATATGATCGCTTATTGTCACAAAAAAAAATTAGCTAACGCGGAGGGACGTGAACCCTGCTCTAAAACTGGAAAAGGGAAATTGTTTCTGTGCTGTGTTGGTGAAGAGCAGTAAAATTGCTTTTCAGCTTCCAATAATTTTTTTAAATTTCAGTTTTAGAAATCGACCAAAGTAAATTTTGAACATTTTCGACGTGGACAAAGACACTGTACTGTGGTAAAAATAAAAAGTCTTGCTGCGTGTGGATGAAGATATTTGTTTTAAGTACTACGATATTTTTTTGCCATATTGGTGTGATGTTCCATTCAAAATTAAATTAAAGATGAAAGCATAAAATCGTTTCCGGTTTGAACAGTACAAATATTGCCTGAAAATACCTTCTCATATTTTCGATCAAATGCAGTCGCTCTTAGCGTAGTAATAATTAAAGTTGTGTTTAATCTTACGGAATATTTGTTCAATTTTCAGTAACGAAGAAGATTGAATACAGGAGAGAGAATCTAATCGTGATGCAGAAAATGGTCCGAATGCATCAGGCTCGAAAACAACATCAGCCAAGATATACGGGGATCTCAAGACTAAAAAAGCTGCAGGCAAGTATTGGAAAATATTTTTTTCATTTCTTTGACTTTACGCGTCAAATGACGCACGGGGATAGATTTTTGTATTATTTATTTTTAGTGCATGCTTTCAAAAGAAATGAAAACATCATTCATCTTGAATTCCCCTATGGAGTGCTCAAACCGAGGTACCATTTGTCGTTGACAAATGTTTTTTTTTTTGCTTGCAATCGCAGATCAACCTGGACCACATGCAGAGAATTGCGAGTGAGCTGAAAGCAAACAGAGAGAACTCTCTGAGCATTGTTGCCAATCTCGACAGGAATCTCATGGCTGCTATCACGAAAATCAAGGTTTGTTCTCAGCGGATTCCCAAGGGGGAGAACTGAAGTTTCTGCTGTTAGTTGCCATTTAAAAATAATGAGTGAATAAATCGATCAAATGATGTTTCTCAGGCACTGAAGGAGCTTCCTACATTTTATTATAATTCTTTATTCCCTGAGCTTTTTTCCAAGAAAGAATCGAGCTCAAATGAAATTGTTCGCAGTAAAATGGCTTCCGCGCTTGGCTGTCAGCTTTTGAAGTATGTGCTGGGGGAAAAAGAGCTTGAAAGTAATTTCCGTGGGATGAATTTATTATCAACAATTCTATCAAAATTGATCAGAGAGATATAAAGATTGAACGTCATATGTTACCAGGAACGTTATTTTCCCATCTATCCCCTTCCCAAAAGGTTTCTGTACCAACCTGAAAAGTGTTCTTCACAATTTTCTTTCTCAACTTTTTTGAACAAAGTTGTACTGGAAGGTGAAAAATACAGGTATTCCATTAGTATTATTTTTAATCATTTTTTTATGGCAGCCTATCTGAAAGAACTTCAGCACTATCCTTCCTGTCAAACCCCGGAGAAATTGTTTGTTGGCACGCAAAGGTTTTACATCAAATGTAAGCAATTTATATTCCTCCCGTTTATTTCTTCTCTGTCTGGAACATAGACGGACGATAAGATCTTGAGGTCGACGATAGAAGCTGATTACGTGGAGATTGTCACACGAGTCAACAAGGAGCTGATATTGCTGGACAAGAAATTGGAGCAGCAAAAAACTGCCGAAGAACAGGAGAAGCTGCGTCGGATACAAGAACAGATGGAGGCTGATAGGAAGCGGGAGGAAGAAGAAAAACTCCGAGTGGCGGAAGAAGCCACGATGAAGCGGAAGTGAGTCCGCTGACTTGAGTTTTCGACGCTTTTGGAAAATTCGCAGTCCATTGCAATTGATAAAATTGATAGGGTCTGACCTTTTGTCAGTAACTTTTCTTGAATTGACCAATTACGAATACGATGGTAATTTTTATTTTATTTTAGCTCTATCCCAGGGCAGATTAAAACGTACGCAAAATTTCTAGCTGACTGCACAAAAATAGTCAAGAAGTAAAAGTCAGAATTTTCTCGTCACTAATAAGAGGTATTCGTACAAATCTTTTCTCGTTCTAAAAAAAAAATAATTGATGGAAATTTTAGAACGTTTTAACTAACATGGACGCAGTAATTCCAAGGTTTGAACAAAAAAGCCGTCTGTTGAAGAGTCAATGAAAGAGTATGATCGGAAAAGCAACACGAATATATTCATGTGTAAATTTAAAAAAATTCCTTCAAAATACCATAGTGAGAAATAAATGCCCAATATGTGGGCCTTTGCTGAGAAAACGGTCAATGGTTTACGGATGAGCCATTTTGGTTTCAATGCCTGTTCTCATTTTTGTAAGTCCAAGAAGTTTTGGAATTACCCTAGATATCCGTAAAAGCAAAGTTGAGTAAACTATTCGAGGTTCATTTCCTTACCCACTTGATAATTTCTCTTTTAGCAAGGATAAAAATTGATCACATCTTCCTGAACCCTTTTTCCGGGTTTTTTTTGTGATTTGGAAGAAATCTGCTTTCCAAGACTATGGAGCAAATATTTTAATGATCATATATTCAACCCTTCTGATTGCATATTTTTATTTCTAGAAAATCTCAAATAGAAGTGCAAAGGCGGCTAGAGGAAGAAGAAGCGAGGCAATTGGAAGCTCTGGCAGTCAAAGCTGAGGCTGAGAGAGAAACAATCGCCGCCCGACATCGGTTGAATACGACTCAGTTTGCCTCCATGAGCGTCGAAGAACGGTACCGTTTCCGATATCTTCTTCTAAGTAACCGGTCTGTCGTCAACCTTGTTCTCGCGGCTCTGGCCCTTGAACGGAACTCTAACCGTTCCCTTTACCCGCAGGTCCACTAGTAGGGAACAGAGATCGTCGACATTTCTTTTTTTTTTTTCTCGTGCCGGAATCCAGACATTTGTTCCCATCTATTTCGTGGGAAATTCAGCGATTGAGGGCTTCCTTTGAACTCGGTATTCCGACTTGTTTAGAGGGGTATGGAAAAGTTTGCTGTCTCTTTGTAAATATTGTGCTGTGTGTGATAACTGGTTCACCTTCCTTTTGGTAGAATTTTATCTCCAGCTGTGGCATCAATTTTTCCCAAGAAAAAGTTTAACGATTGAGGAACGAAAATTAAATTAGTTCGGAAGCGGTCTCGAATTTTCAAACGCGTGTGAACTTTTTCTGACTTGATTGGTTTCCTTTTTCCCTCCTCTTCGTTAGGATGAAGAAGTTGCTGCTAATCAGTGGGGCTCGGGAGCTGCGTCTCCGGTGAAAACAGATCCGACCAAATACGATCTGACCAAGTGGAAGTACTCGGATTTGAGGGACGCGATCAACACGTCGTGTGACGTGGACCTTCTCGAGGTGCTTAAGGCCTTGTCAGAATAATTGGTCATTTGGATTCCTTGACCTTTTCTTTCATATTTTTCCGATGTAGGCTTGCAGAGAAGAGTTTCATAGGCGATTGAAAGTGTACCACAGTTGGAAAGCGAAGAACAAGAAACGGATCGAGGCCATGGGGCATCAACGAGCTCCGCAATCCGTTCTGGATTCAGGTTTGTAACTCCTTTTTTTTTTCAATTTAATGACGGATTGAAATTAGTCACGAATAATTGACGGCTTTTCCGCATTTCAAGCCGAACCTTGCTTCCTGAGTGTACGGCAGATGTTGCCTGAATAACCTCGTCTGCTTCGAAGTAGCCGAAGCGATTTTGAACTTAATTAATTATTACTATTTTAATAAGCCAACCTAACGAAGACCTCGCTGAAATTATATGTACGGGTTTTCGAAATGCAGGCTACATCCGTGTAATGGCAAAGAAAAGCCTGATAAGGTGTTGTACTTGCGGTCGTCCGACGTTAAAATATAAGTAATAAAATCCCTTCGTAAAAATTCCTGAGATTTGAATTATCTAACCTCAAGAAGTGTGCTTCTCTTGATCGATTGATCGAATTTTATTAATTCAAGTACTGTATTTGATTGACCAGAGTAAATTTTCGATGTAATTTCCGTGGAATTAATGATCAATTCTTACTTTTTTAATTAGAATAACGCGGAATTTTGCGTCGATAATTGCACTTGCAAGAAGGTTCGATGAACTCGTATCTTTGTCTATGATTCTTCTTATATACAAATTTTTGAAAATACATGTTCTGTACCATATTATAATGCTCGCTTTTCAAAGAAGAACATAAGCAAGAATGAAGAAAATGTGACGTATGTTTCAAGTACACCGATGATTCGATTACTGAAAATCTTACTGTCAAGTATTGTACGTATATCCTGGAAATGAAGTACAGATGATACAATACGTCGTGCAGTAAAGATTGAGCGATTGGTGGTACAGTACTTGGTATCGTGGAGATTTATTCACGAACTCTGCATATGTCGTGTTGAATGCGGTGAAAATCAGAAAGCTGGGAAACATTCTTGAAATTTTATTGTGAACTTGGATCTTTATTTTTTTAGATTCTTGTCTGAGATTTCAACGGTCTTCAGAACATGGCTTGAAACGTTTCTTTTTTTTTCAGCTATGCGTGCCGCTGGGGCAAGTGGTTCATCAGGAACAGTTAGTCGTGGTACAGGTAAGCAGAGGTACTTCAGGATCCCGTTTGTTCGTCCTGTCGGTGACGAGGCAAGAGCCGAACTGGCAGCTGTAACTGGTGGCAGGAAGGGCTGGTGGTACGCCCACTTTGATGGTCCCTACGTTGCCCGTCAGATGGAGCTGCACGATCACCGATCACCTGTGCTGCTTCTAGCTGGTGCGATAAACAATTTTGTAATACCGTACTCTATTGTACCTTATTTACCCCAATTTAAGGTGTGAAGTACTACTTTTTTTTAGCACAGAGAATTAGTCTTCATTTTTTCGACAAATCAATGTTTGAAAATACAAAAATTGCACGTAAGACGCGCAACCCTGGTGCTAATGACCCGCAAATCAATTTATTTCTGTATAATAAATTCATAAAAAGATTAATTTCTTTCTACGAAAAAGTAGCACAGGAAAATAGGGTGCATCATCATTTTCAAGCAAAAGCTATCCCGGTGTGAGACACGCAACCCGGGTATTTGTGACCCAAAAATCAATTTATTTTAGGAAATTCACAGCGAACTTTGAAATTTGGGCTAGTAAACTGTGAATTCAACTACGCTGCATCTGTTTTTGTTTCACATTTTCAACAGCAAGTTTGATGTATGCCTAAATGTTTATTTTTGCTCATTCTAGGTTCTAAAAAATAACTTTAAAATTCGGTGAATCTTTATGGAGTTTGGAGTTTGACACACATCAGAAATGTGCAGAACAAAATGTTCACCCGACTAAGACGGGCACCCTGCTTTATTTTTAGCTCAATTTTCAGGAAAAGGATTTGGTTGGTCCTTGAGTAAAAATGTAATATTTTAAAATTATCATAAATTTAAAATTAAATTCGAGTTTGAAATTGATTTGAGCTATTCCTTACTAGCATCCTAAGTTCAGTGGTTCAACATTTGAAATCCAAATTTCTGTTGGAAGTCTTGCAGGGAATTTATCTGGTAACGTATACCGGAGGAATTAAACAAGCTTTGCATTTGATGGTACAAATAAAAGATTTACTATCATGTGACGGCAAAATATTCTTGAATGAAGAAATTATTTTTCCACAGGAAAAGATGACGTTCACATGTGTGAATTGACGTTGGAGGAAACCGGACTCACGAGGAAAAAAGGAGCGGAGATTTTGGAGGAAGAATTCGAAAAGGAATGGAGGAATCACGGAGGTCTTCCGTACACTCGACGTTAGTTGTCACGCAATCAAGAATACTCCTGTGGATAATCGGAACTCAGTTTTGCTTCGTGCCTTTTTGCGATGACGTGTCTTGCAAAAACGACGTTTGCTGTCGAAAGTATTTCGTGCCGAAAGCAGCTTTTCAATCAAAATTTTTTTTTTAAAGCTCAATGGATTACAGCAACAGAATTGCTTTGTCTGACGAGGACCAATGATGTGATGGTCGAATTTTTGTCCCTGTGCCACTGATTTTTAAATTTAAACTTTCCTCAGAACTCCTGCCATTCCAGTGCCTGTCTGTGGTTTTTGGAAATTTTGGCAACTGAACTTTCCGGCAGCTATTTGAACAATCTCAAGAATTTGTGTACATTTTTTTTAATTTGAAGCAATAGATGGAGGCATGGTTTTTAGCGACGGAAATTCCGAGTTTTAGGGGACTGATACTAGTCGGGATTAATATGCTTTTAATGGATTGACTTGACTGGTTTCAAATGTGCCATGGTGCGTGTGAAACTCAAAGAATCGTAGTCTGCTGAAGAGAGCTTCCTGTGTGCTTATGTTTCCTCTGAATTGTGCAACTTGTCTCTGTGAGATGTTTGGATACTAAAGACATTGACAGTGTTCGGTGTTCATTTATTTGCGTGCATTTCTTACTCAGAGAATACTGCAAGTACATTTAAGAATTATTCCAAAGGCAGGCTGAAGACTTTAATATTTAAATACATTTATGTTCAAAAGTCAAACCAAGCTTTTTATACCACTATTTTCTGAAAAATGGATATTTCGTGTTCAGAAATCAACATTTGAGAAAGCTTGGTGAAACCTTGAATTGATTGCTGGAACATGTTCAATAACTAAATCTATATTTTAGTGCATTATCTATAGAAGAGATCATACTTGATAAGGTGTTGTACAGTTGAACCTCTCCAATTTGAATTTTGTGGGACCATAAAAAAAATTTGACTTAAGGGGGTTTTGAATTGAGCTACAATGCAAAGCCCTTTTGTTCTGGGAAACAGAAAATTTTCCAAAATTTGTATATTTAGGGGCTGAAATTGCTTCTTTGATGAGTTGAAAGGATGCTGCTTATTGAGGCAAGGGTTCATTTGCCCAATTAAGTCTTTCACGTCCTTCTAAAACAAATTAATTTCTGTTTTTAGTGCTTTTTTCTTTCTTGTGTCAGAAAAATAAAAGCCAACAGGCCACAGAATATTCAACTTACAGAGGTTTGAGAGGGGAAAGCCTTTGATAAGGTTTTTCATGCATTAATTCTAAGGGGATGCAGACAGGACCTGAAAAAAAATTTGCCTTTGGGGGTTATTCAACTTGGGGAATTTTGAGTTATCAAGGTTCAACTGTATTTTAATTGAAAACTTCAGTGTGGGAGAATCTTGTTGCACCAAATTAGGTTGTGATGAATTCTTTCCCAAAATGAATTAGTGTTAATGTCTGTCCAGTAGCAAGCTTCCTGTGTGCTTATGTTTCCTCTGAATTGTGCAACTTGTCTCTGTGAGATGTTTGGATACTAAAGACATTGACAGTGTTCGGTGTTCATTTATTTGCGTGCATTTCTTACTCAGAGAATACTGTAAGTACGTTTAAGCATAATTCCAATCCAAAGGCCGGCTGAAGACTTTACTCTTTGAATAAATGTATTTTCAAAAGTCAAACCAAGCCTTTTATACCACTATTTTCTGAAGAAATGGATATTCAGTGTTCAGAAATCAATATTTGAGAAAGCTTGGTGAAACCTTGAATTGATTGCTGGAACATGTCCAATAACTAAATCTATTTTGTAGTGCATAATCTATAGAAGAGATCACACTTGATAATGTGTTGTACAGTTGAACCTCTCTAATTTGAATTTCATGGGACCATCAAAAAATATTTGACTTGAGGAGGTTTTGAATTGAGCTATAATACAAAGCCCTTTCATTCTGGGAAACAAACATTTTTATATTCTGGGGCTGAAATTGCTTCGTTAATGAGTTGAGAGGATGCTGAATTTTGAGGCAAGGGTTCATTTGCCCAATTAAGTCTTTAAATTCCTTTTAGAACAAATTAATTTATGTTTTCAGTGCTTTTTTCTTTCTTGTGTCAGAAAAATAAAAGGCAACAGAATATTCAACTCACAGAGGTTTGAGAGGGAAAGCCTTCAATTAGGTTTTTCATGCATTAATTCTAATGGGATTCAGACAGGACCTGAAAAAAAATTTGCCTTTGGGGTTATTCAACTTAGGGAGTTTTGAGTTATCAAGGTTCAACTGTATTTTAATTGAAAACTTCAGTGTGGGAGAATCTTGTTGCACCAAATTAGGTTGTGATGAATTCTTTCCCAAAATGAATTAGTGTTAATGTCTGTCCAGTAGCCAAAACAACCTTTGAATTTCCTTAACCCTTGGACAGCAGCAGCCTCCTTTCCATCCCAGGGCAATAAGTTAGACTTTTTCCCCATGGGCCTGCATTATATTTTTGCACAAGGTTATGCAACTCCTGCCAGGTGGGGGAGGGCAAAGTTGGATTTTATCCATGGATAAAGAAATGTTGGGAAAGTCCTGAGTTGGACTTTTTCTGTATTGACCTCTAACCTGGGCTCCTGGCTTTCAAGCTTGAATTCAATCTTTGAATGGGGAAACAAGCCAGGGGAAAAAAGGGAGACTTGAAGTTTTTTTTTGCATTTTCAGGTGAAATTTTTCTGTGGAAAATTAAAAAAAAAAGTGCCAGGATTTTTCCAGACTTTGCCCTGTACACACTGTTGCAGTTTTTTTCAATTCCACTCATGAGTGCAGCCAAAATCTGCAAAAAAGTCCAACTTTGCTGCAGAAGGGTTAAAATATATAAAATTTTTAAATATTTTGTAATGGTATTTTCACTGGAACTGCTGGCTTTGTTGTAAACGTGTAATACAATTTTTTGTTATTTGGCTTTTTATGACTCTAGCTCAATTCCCCTTCTGATGAAAGTTCAGGCAAAGTTTCTCTTTGCCACATTTCTCACATTAGCGGGTGATAATTTTTTGGGTGTTCCCAAAATGTAAAAGCAAAAATGAAGGTAAAGTACTTCACTGCTACATTATAAGTCTGCAGTACCAGTACAGCACCAACAATACGCCAATATGAGGTCACTGTTACATAGAAATGCACTATTTGTAACCTCAAATCTGTGAAATTTTATTTTGAAATTCTAGCTTTTAGCTTCCAAGAGATAACTGCGTTTGAAAATCGGTCGGTCGTGCATAAATTAATTTTTATACGGTATCATACATCAGCATGAAGTACCGATCGAGTTATATATTTCTCATTGTTTTCCTTTATCCTTTCTTGGTTGCGCCTATTCGTTCGGAAGAGCATTTACATGTACATGCGGGAAGGAAAACTCGCATATATACAGTACTTACAGAGCATGTGTTGTTTTAATCAATGTTTTCATCTTTCCTTTTCTTTTTGCTGACGACGAGGTTCTGACGAGAAAGGAAACTGGAGTTATAGTGATCTGATTTATCGGGTGTATCGGACGTCATCCGAATCCCGTTTGATGTCTTTGACGACCGACATCATGGCGGCCAGCTGCATACAGTAGACAAGCCATGTTAACTTGCCTAATTTCTTTGTACAGCTTCTGTGTTGCTGCTGGTGGCGGCGGTTGGGTTCAGGGTCAAGAAGGCGTCCCCCGCCGGATCGCATTCCGATCGGCTTCCAAATCACGTCTGCGGCGGTTCTTGGCATTCCGCCTCATCCCTGCTGGACTTGGTAGAAAGAATCTCTTCATACGAAGAACCTCGTTAAAATGAGTTTTTGCTTGCGATAAAATTCTTCAAGTTACCTTTAGTTTAGTTTTGAGTCTCGATATAACCGATTTTTCATCATCGCCTCGCGTCTCATTACTTGATTCCCTGACATTTTTCGTGGGCATTAATCAAGGCGTGGTTCATAGTAGCGTAAACACACAGCCAAGGAATTGGCTAAAAGAACTGAATGAACTGCAATAATTTATTTTTTAATTGGCTACACAAAATCGAGGTGTGCCTCATGTTCAATGACATCTTTTAGGTAAAGCTATCTTATATTTGCTGTGCAACTTGCTGCTGACCAGCATCATCTTTTGAACAAAACTCATTTTGATGCTCAATTTTAAACTAATTCAAACTGAAGTGAAATTTTCACTACAAGCAGGGCAAGAATCCTGGCTTTTCGTGGGTGTGCAACGAAGGAAGATTCTGTTGGAGTATAAGTAAAATCCTCGTACTTATTCTCTCATGTTGGAAAGGAAATTTGAAGCACTTTTACTGTTCTGAAAAACGCCCATGAAAAATTTAAAGATATATTGAATAAACTTTAAAAAAAATTTACAACAAACAGAAGTAAATAATTATTACCAACAATATTCATAGCCCTCAAGAACATAAAAAAGCCAAGGACCTTCTGCGCATTGAAAAGGAAATTACTTCCACGTGATCAGATGTGCATAATTAATCTACGCTAAATCGAGCATGCACATATTGCACTTTGTTTAAACTGGTTGGATACATGTAATTCACATTACACTATTACAGTACATCCAAAACCTTGAATTCAATCATGTGTTGTGTTTGAAAGTTACGCTTGGGGCTTATTTTATGTGTAAATTGAAAGACGTGCAAATCCCTTCAGGCTCAATGAGTAAAGATAATTTTTGATTCCAGTAATTAAAAAAAGAACCTGCCATCATACACATGAATCTATAGATTATCTAAACAATCCTCCCCTGGGTTGAAAACTTCTCTAAATTTGAATTTCAAGTTATCCATTTCCTAAATCAATTATGACCGAAATTTCATAAAATTCCATGAATTTTTTCATAAAATCAATTTCGTTTTGCCGATCACTTTTTCAATTTGGAAATTTCATTGCTGTACAGGTTCTTTGTCGAACGGGATCCACTGACAGTACAGTATTTTACTTCATGAAGATTATCTGCTTCACAGTGATCGCCATGTAAGTTGATGTCATGACATGCTTTGTAACAATATGTGAAATTTTCTTGCATTACAGATGTACCCCAACGTGTCTTTTTCTAGATAAATCCTCAGAGGGTTATTGTCCTGAAATTCTGTGCAGTACTTTCTATACGCGATATACTTTCTCATTGTAAAAAGCTGAGCTTATTCCAGAGTGCACCAACAGAAAATCGCGCAGCAATTCCTGGTAGCAACTGCAGGTTAACAGCTTATCCGACAATCTAAAAAAGGCGGGTGCATTTCTGACGACAATCCCTCTCTCCACGTTTCACCTTTTCCGTCCATTGCGTGACTAGAGAGCATCAAACCCGAGCGACACGTCCACACGTGGGCGGAGCCACGGTGGATGCATGGGGTGAGGGGAACACGCCTGCCGAAGGCGGGCTCACGAGGCAAACGGCTATGAATCCGTGGCACACGGGCGGAGCCATGCGGAAGCCACCTCCCACTTTCCTGGCTCAAAGCCGTCGACCTGCAGTCCCGCCGCGCTGTCGCCGCGTCACTCGGCTGAGAACAGGCGTTGCGCAAATGTGTCTGATATGTGGTAGGAGAAACTTCCTTCCGGAATAATGGTGTCGATTGCTTACGTGGCGGCTTTCGTGGTCTGCGATTCTTCTTGGTTGCTTTTTAATTCCTCTTGTTGTTGTCGTCGTCTTCATTCACCTGTTGAAGTATTCTATGGATGGCCGAATAACTGACTTGAGTTTGTGCTGGTTGCTTTTTCAGTTGTTGATTTTGACAAGTATCAACGCCGCGTTTCGCGTTGCTATAGAAAAACAATATTCTTTCAAAATGCACATTTTAAGAAGGGAAATTGTAAAAGATAAGTTCGCTGTGTTTGAGACTGAAAATAGATTTGCTAACTGAGGCTTTGTTTTCTCTTCATCTGAGCTGTGGTAAATTTTGGAGCGCCGGAAAATAATATTTTTTGAAATTTCTGTCAGTTGCAAATTTGTGGGAGAGTTTGAATTATTCCCGGATTTCTAGATGCAAGTTTTCTGCGTGTTATTAGCTGTTGTATGAGGATGTGGAGGCAATTCATGCATGATTTGATTTGAAGGCTAGAAATAGCTTGAAAGCATCGTTCGTTTTCTTACATCGGAATTTACATGAAATTCTTCCGGAAAAGTCCAGTTTTGAATTTGCTGATGGTTAAACAAAGATTTTTTAGCGTGATTAGCTTCCGTACAACTTTTGCTGATGCTTCATGCGTGATGTGATTTGTAGATTGGAAAAATGGCAGAATATGCATTTTCTGCTTATTTGCATCGGAGCTTGGTAAGATTTCCTATAGCAGAGGTTTCCCTTCATCCATGTATTTTTCGTTGCTTAAGAATAAGCTAGAAATTCGATGTAAACTCGCATTTTTAATTGCAATTTTTTGCGTGAATTATATTACTGTTCGTACTGTATATGAATTTGTGCTGATGAGAATCCGCTGCGATGTTGTTGATGTCGAAAGTCGAAGCATGTGAGTATATTTTCTACGAAAGAAATACTGTACCTGTACAGCATTGGGTAGACACGTAGACTACGGTTTTTCCAAACCAGAAATCGACTCGAATTTCTGCAACTTAATAAAGGGAAATCAAATTTTATACAAATAAGAGAGTATACCGTAATAAAATGTGCATGACTGTGTAAAATCGCCATATAGATACGGTTTAGTTCACGTTTGATAAATCATTGATTTTAAAATTGAGTTTGCAACGGGCTGAGGTAAATTATCTTGTATCTCAAGAACAATGTTGACGCGCTTTTTTTTAGACAGCATGATATTACTTCTGGTATTTTTTGAATTTGCTCTGAGCACGGTTTTTATGTTTAGGGATAAAATAGACAGTATTTGCGCATGATACATTACTTTTACTACGCGTAAAAGTATTTTGAGTGCAGAGAATTAGGAATTTCTTGAAAAATCTAGAATTCTCTCACTAAAAAATTGGCCAAAGTTTTTTTTTGTGCCGACAGTGAAGAGACTTGTATTGTTTGGTTTACTTTTTCTTGATTCTTCAAGATTTCACTTTTATGATTTGAGTTCCCAAAACAAATGAGTTTTTAGATCTTTAGAGAGATTAAAAACGTTCGTGAAGCATAACATGGATCTTTTTTTGGGATTTCTCATGCTTGAATGTGGAACAAATCAAAATTTGAGAGAACATTGGATCAAAACTGTGCTTATTTTTGATCTGACGAGAAATTTTTGCGACTCTTAAAGCACGTCAGTCAGGAAATTCTTGAAGATGAGGACGATGTCAAAGGATTTGCAGACTTTGATAAAGGAAAACTTTACAATGATTTATGAATAATATTTCTGCAACAACATTGAAAAACGATTTGTTTTATTATCCCTGTGTGTCATTGATTAATTTGAGAGATACTCTTATATTTATAATTCGAACCAACTTCTCGAATATGTTCCGATGGAACATATTCTCATTGAACATTTTTCAAGAGAAATGACTATCACAACATTTTTCAGCCAAAGAATTGTTGTAGTATCGAAAGTTAAGCAATTGCTCAATTTTTAATGTTTATTATGGATCTTTCCTGATCGTATAAGACAGGTCAACTGTATTTTGATCATAACCCATGGGAACTTATTTTTCCAATGGGACAAATTTTACCGAACAAATTGCATCCAGGAAGGATGACGCTCTATTTTGAGTTCTGTTGCGTAAGGAATTAATGGTAGCCCCCCGTGTATCATTGTAAATTTTCTACTTCCACTCAACTTATTTTCATACTTGTAGCAAGAAACTCACCTACAATAGGATTCACTTTATAATTAATTGATTTCAGTCCCCGGAGTAATGTTGTAAGTTTGCTATACACATATCAAACGAGAAACTTTCGGGCTAAACATGATCTTTAATGTATGAAGAGTTATTTTTGCAACACCCAGATTATAATTTTAAAGAAGGATACATTTGCTTTAAACGTACTAAATTGATTGCAATAATAGGACTTGTTATTTGAAATATTATTTGGCGCATTTTTACTGAATGTGTTGAGCCAGAGTTTAAAAGAAGCTCTTCTACAATTACAATCTCAAATACTGCCGTGTTATTAAGGAAAATTACGTGTTTTGCATTTCAAACATGTTATGATTCATTTAGGAACATGTTCGGTTTGTTCTGTAGAAACTCATTAAACTATAAATGTAATCGGCATATATTATTTGTAAAAATCTACACACTTGAATGTCATTCCGAAAGATTCAATGGGGACCAGTAAAAAAACTTCATTAGAGCAAAATTTTTCAATACAATTTTCAAATAATAACGTGGTTCTTGGTCTCGCATTAAAAAATAATAATTCTTCTTGTTGAATTCATCTCATAGCAAGACTTTCTGCAATAAAATTCTACTGTATCATAGATCCGTTGGGTACACAGGTGTAAAGTATGTGCACAAAATAACTTACACTGCTGTACTGTATTAGCAAAAATTAAAATACTGTAAACTATATATAAATATATATATACGGTATATATATATTCTCTTTATAATATTTTGGTTCTGTATTTATTGCTGTGAGGTGAGTTCACTTGAACTCAAGTTTTGCGCTGAATTTTGGACAGTGTACAGCAGCACTCTCTTTATTCTAGTTACGATTTCTTCTCAAAGTCGCTTTCTGTTATCTTTCGTTCAGCTTCTTCAGAAATCCTTCAGGTCACTGTACCGAATTTATTCATTCTGTTTCACTTTATTTTATTCGTTCTTTCCTCGAGTGACAAGGGAAATGCATCAGGTGGACGGGAAGATTTCCGGTTCGATCTGTTCTCACGGACGTAAATTTCTTTCTCTCTCTCTCAATTTTTTATATTTATTTTTTTTATTTCCTTGGGACAGATCCCGAACTTTGATACAATGTTGCGGTTCGTCGCATTTCGAGATTCGGGCTGATTTATGCGAGGGGCAAGGCTTGTTTTGCATGAAATCGCGGCGAAGGAAACGTTTCGTTAAAATT